ATTAAGCAGCCACTTTGCCGTTTCGCTCCCTGCTAAAATCTTCAGACTTTCTATGACTGATTGAACTGGGTGCTGGCCGTGCCGCGCAGGACATAACCGACGGACCTGTGAAGCTTCACAGGAGGCAGAGGCTTAGATCACTGGACGACAGAGTTGGTCGCCGTGTGCACAGACGGAGCTGCTGTTAACGTCGGTGTGTACAACAGAATTGTACCAAAACTACGTCAACTGGCTGCGGTGGGAGACTCCCCTGTGCACATTCTGTGCCCCGCGCACACACTGGAGAACTGCGCAAAATCAGCTGATCACAACGTTCACGCTCTGTGGTCAAGCTGCTGCAGTTTTATTTACAACAAAGTGGAGTAAAACACACAGCTGCAAACTTACTCAGGCTGTTAATGGAAGAGTTTGAAATCAGACAGAGGTGGAAGAAGTGTTACTCAAGTAAAATTAGAAAAGTATTATCATCAAAATCTAGTTAAAGTAGCGACAGTAAAAGTAGTCATTTTGCAGATTGGTCCATTTCATAATAATGTATATGATATGTTTTATAATTATTGATCATTAAAGTGTTTAAAAATTAGTTTGAATGACTTTGTATACTGCAGGGTAGCTTGTGGATTTACTCCAGGTGGAACTAAAGTCTGATTTAACACTTGATTATATTTTCACATCATTCATCCACATCTGTAAAGTAACTAAAGGTATTAAATAAATGTAGTGGAAGAAAAGTACATGATTTACCTCTGAACTGTAGTGGAGTAGAAGTACAAAGTAGCATAAAATAGAAATACTCAAGTAAACTACAAGTATCTTAAATTGTACCTAAGTACAGTACTTGAATAAGTGTACTTTGTTACTTCCCACCTCTGAAATCAGATATGACTTCAAGTCATGTGATAATTTCTTAGTATGTGATCCTTCAACTTGGCCTCAGGAAATGCAAGGACTTCACAGTTTTGGCAACAAGTTTTGGAGAAAGCAAATCGGAGGCTTACAAAGAGACAGGGAGGTGCATCTTCATCATCTTCATCATCTAGCATGCAAGAAGTGTAAATAGAGGACAGTGAAGGAGACACTGAGGAGGACAGTGAGGAAGACTGCACTTATTAACACCACGCTTCATGTGGGGTGAGTACCAAACGCTGTCTCCTGGTACTCATCTGAGTAACTCACTCAAAAAGTTATGTGCACACCTGCTTATAACACGTAAATGGAATGCATTTATTAGATCAAATCATTTTATTGTATTCAAGAGTGTTTCACTTAAAGTCTACCTCGCACTCATATCATGTAAAATATCTGTAAATGTGCATAATTATTTACTAATGCCAAATAAAATGTGACAGACAACTATATTACTCATGAAATATTTCAGAAATTAATTTGAAACTTTATCAAATTAGGCTTCATCAAAGCAGCAACACACTCATTTAAACCAGACAGGTCACAAAATAAAAAATGAGGCAAAGGAAACTCAGCAGAAATTCAGCACAGAGAACTGTCAATGCAAGGAAGCTGCACACTCCATGGTCCTGAACTACAAATTATAAATGTAACATTTCAGCAATCGGCATTGAAACATGTGCTATTGTAAATATTTTGCCGACTTACAAATTAGTGAGATACATGTGCCTGTCGGGGCGCGCAGATTTTTTTAATCCTTGGTGGCACTGAGGAGAGGGCCACTCGAAAGTCCTGTTCAACAGAGAGCCGTGACCTCCTGTTGTTCTTCATGTAAACCAGAGTAGAGAACGCCAACTCACACAGGTAGGTAGTGGGAAAAAGAAGAAGTTGCTCAATCGCGTGGTGGGAGATGCTTGGGTACTCCGATGCAGAAGCCAACCAAAACTGATCCAGTGGGAGCTCACTAAATTTGAGTTTCAGTGTGCGGTCCACACGGAGCTCTGCGCACTCCTCTCTCTCTTTCATAGTGAGCTTTTCTGTTGGGAATTCCTGGTGGAATGGGTCTCGGATCCAGTCATAGTCCTCGATGTCAGCCACACGTGGAAAATAGCGGTCAAACCTCTCTTTTAAGGTCTGAAGGTGTTCGGCATATATAGCGCGCTCCCTAGCTGCCTGCGGCGCAGCTGATGCCAGCGGGAACATGTCCATGGAGCCCTGTTCCAAAGCCTCGCGCCACAGGATAAGTTTGCCCATAAACCCCCGAATCTTGTCTGTGGATGATAAAATGTTTTCATTCCTGCCCTGAAGCTTGGCGTTTAACTCGTTGAGATGCCCAAATATGTCTGCGAGGTAAGCCAGCCTGGCGCACCACCTCTCCGCCTCTGTATTATGAAATGAGTGCATACAAAGTACTGATATAGTAAATTAAAAAATAATTATTTTTGTGTAGTTGTATATTGCAATAATAACGTATGGTTGTCACAAAATCCCACGGCACACCCGGACTTGCCTCACGGCACACCGTTTGGGAACCACTCCATTAGACCACCACTATCCCTTATTCCCCATTAAGCTGTCTGTGGCTATTTTTCCTGCTGTAATTACGCACATTTTCCCTCCGTGGGACTGATAAAGGTATTCTGATTCTGATTTCATCATGGTTGAGAATTTCAACTCTGACCAGACCTACAGTAGTAGTGATGTCACAGTTACTGGAGTACACCTGTACTGTAACACTGCAGCGAGTTGAATCTTTAAACCACTGGAGGTCAGCAAAATCAAGACTTTCCATAGGTGTTAACATACTCTTTAGGTTCCTAACTTTATCAAAACATTCTTAGAAACACCAAAACCGAGGAAAATACCTGTTTTATGTTGAATTAAATGCTCATGTTTATGTCTGCCAACACACAAAACTATGTGTCCACTCACAGACAGCAGATCAGCAGTACCAGGAAGCTTTCAACGACGAGCTAGAGTCGTTCAAGGAGCGAGTTCGGGGCAGGGCAAAGATCCGCATCGAAAAGGCAATGAAAGAGTATGAGGAAGAGGAGCGGAAGAAACGCATGGGACCTGGAGGGCTAGATCCTGTGGAGGTGTACGAGTCACTGCCAGCTGTGAGTCCTTTTACAAAACGCATGTGCACTTTCTTCTCTTTTCTCTTTTCTGAAGTTTAAAATGCCTTACAAAACATGTTCTTAATTGCAGGAGATGCAGAAATGCTTTGATGATAAGGACATCCAAATGTTACAAGAGGCTATTAGCAAAATGGACCCAACGGTAGGTTTCTTATTTCATATTTCAGTTATGTAAATGTAAAGTTACCTGATTCACGTGTGTCTTCTTTGTCCTACTTTGGGTATGTTAATAAATGTGATTGTTTTATGTGCTTAGGAGGCGAAGGTTCAAATGAAGAGGTGCATAGAGTCCGGGCTCTGGGTCCCTAACTCCAAGATGGATGATGGGGATGAAAAAGAGGAAGATCCTACCTATGAAGAGGTGAAACAGGAGCTGGAAGAAACTAAGAAGGAATGACCAACAATGATTCTATGATGTGCTGTTTTTGCAAATGTACTTACCCACTGTATTGCGGCTCCACTTTGTGTATGACTAGTTGGCCAATCATGAAATAATGCATTAGCTTTTTTTTTTTTAAATATTAAGCTGAGACTAGCATTCACCTATCTGCACAACAACATTGCATCAGTAACTCCTGCTTGGAAAAGAAAGTGCTGCTTGTGTTTAGGTCTTTTTTTTGTTTAGACATAAGCTGTGTTCTTACATTTATTTGTGTACACCTATCAATTTGTGTGAGTGCCTGCCTGCTTCATTTGTGCTGTTGTATAGTTGAAAACCGTTCTATACATATTCAGGTTGTGCACTTAATGATGGATGGATTTTTTTTTTTTGTCATTTACACATTTAATGTTTTTTGTTAGACTTTCAGGGCTCAAGCAACCATGTATTCAGATGGTTATTTCCCCAAAAGTGACATTTTCTACAAACTTGCTTAACTAAAGGTTGAATTATATCCCAAAACTCAAGGCCAATGTGTTGTGGTTTTCTCTATAAATGCAAGGTCCGGGTGACATGCTTTTCCAATCATGAAGTAAGAGGTCGAAAATGAGAACCATAAAAGAATCACACAAATATTATCCATCTGCAAGACCTGTTGTCGTGGTAACGGCTGCTTTTTAATGTGGAGAGACTGCATCTTTGCATGGGTTTTCTAATAAAGCATTTGGTATTTACAAATGACATTTGCTCTACATAGAGATTGAATGGTACTGTAGCCAAATAGGGTGGGTATGCTATGCCCTTTAATACGTCACTATACACATTAAATGACAAACACTATTAATAACAGTACCGACAGTGCCAGGTACGTGTGGTTGGATTCTATATTTTTACTTTCAATGCTTTTATTTTGAAGGTGAGAGTGCAAAATTGGACATTTGCTGGATGTTAAAACTGGCAATATGAAAATCAATGAAGCATCATCTTGATCATCACTAATTAAGAATGCTCAATGCAAACTGACAAAATCCCTCCAAGCTTTAGGGTGAGACAAATGAATGTGATAAAGGATTGGAGCCACATACTTGTTGTACCTCCATTTAGCCTGACAGAAGGTTAAAGAACATAAGGCTATTGAAATGGACATGACACTGACTGGATGAAATAGCTAACTATGTAAAGGTGGGTGCAGAATGCAATCTCAACACCTGACATAAAACAAATGCACATGAAAAAAAGTGGCCAGTTGAAATTATTAAATAATGACAGAAGTACAATATTATAAACTGGTCATTTATAATAATTGTATTTGATACTTCAAGTCATTTTGAGCTTAATCATTTAGTATTTGTCTACTTGAGTATTGCTACTTTTACACATAAGAATGGTATACAATAGGAGTTCTATTTCCACCCGTGTGCTGCATACTTTGTTATATATCTAATCTATCTAAGAAGTTATACACGTCAATGTATACCTACACATTTCATCGCTTTAATTCTCGACGTTTTATTTTGAAAAGTCATGTATACGTGCGTGTGCGCGCATGCCTGGTGGAGGGAGTGACCGTATTGCGTTCAGGAACCAGCGGTCTGCCGAGTCAACACTTCGCAGTTCAACAGAAACTTGTGTGGGCGAAGGGGAAATACGCTCAGAAGATAATGAAACCCGACTGTCCCTTCTTCTCTTCTTTGGCTTTGAAATAAGTCTGTGAAAAGTTCGACGTTCAATGGTAAGATACTTCTTTTTTAGACCGGTTGTTTAGCTTTATGTCTCCAATTGTGTTTACATATTTCCTGGTCATAGATGTCGGATACACCGTGAAATGCTTCAGGACGCGTGATTATGAGCCACCGAATGACGCAATCTGTTATATCATAATGTATTCATATTAAAACAAAATAACTTGTATACCTGTTATGGTGCTGTACAGTGTTGTATAATGTAGACAAGTTAGACGAGTAATATTTCCTCGGTAGGCCTAGTGACACATTTCCTGACAACATATTCTAAGAAGTTATTTCTACATGTTGTGTCATTTGGGAAGAGCATGTTAGTTTTAAGTTTGTTTTTCAGTTTGAAACTAAAAATAGAGAAAAACGCAAGGTTGATATTTCTAAACGCCTGCAGGTCCTGCAGTTCTGCTGCAACTCTTTTACTACTTTTAAATCCAGGCTGAAGATTTTTCTTTTTGTCGTTGCTTTCATATCTTACACTGCATTTGAACCTTTATTCATGTATTTTATATATTAGCTTGTTTTATGTTTTTTTTATTTTATTATATTAGCTTTTGAATTACTGTTTTTAAAAATGCCATTTTGTAATGTGTTTCTGCTGCACTATTTCTTAAAGCTTAAAGCACTTTGCCTTGTGTTGAACGGTGCTATATAAATAAAGTAGCCTTGCCTTGCCTTGTTGACTCAAGCCTTCATAATGCCTTCGTGATTCCACCCAATGCAACAGTTGATGACAGGCAAATACTCTCCTTTACTTTGTGTTCGTTAGTGATTTGGCTGTCCCCATCATGTCCAAACGTGGGTCATCCAAGCATTCAATGCACGGGGCGTTCCCGAGCCTGTGTGACCCCCCTCAGGGTCCTGGTATCCATGTTTACATGTTCTGGTCAAAGGAAGGGGAAAGATATTTGTCCCATACAGATGGAGAAGTTACAGCAGAAGACCTGTGCATCTCAGCTGCGGAGGCTGTAGGTGAGAGTGACCGAATACACACATACAGACCAAAGTAAACGTTTATCTTCTTGTGGTATTTCATCCTGCTGGTGGCTAGTGTGTGTAACATCCCTGTGTTATTCCCCAGGTATAACTCCTCTATGCCATGTGTTGTTTGCGCTGTACAATCCACAATCAAGCTGCTGGTACAGTCCAAACCACACGTTTACTCCAGAGAACAGCCTTGTACTTCACTACTGTATAAGGTAAGTGTGTTTTTATAGCACTGTTATATACACACAGATGAAACATATTCACAATCTTTCTCTGTTTTCCTTGTATCTAGGTTCTACTTTCGGAACTGGCACGGACTCAGTGGGAAGGAGCCGAGTGTTTACCGTTATGCTCTCAGATCTGGGGCAGGTCAGGGAGGTTCTCCCTTGCTTGAAATCGCATCCTTACAATACCTGTTCTCCCAGGTTGGTAATTTGTGTGTATTATAGGAGGGCACAATTTTCACAGGTTCAACCTATTTAAGTACTTAACCTCTTTGCTTCTCCTGTCTCCAAAAGGCTAAATATGAATTTGTGAACGAAGTGGTACAGGTGGAAGACGTGGACTCAGAGGAGAAGTTGAATCGCTTCGAAAATGAGAGCTTGGGGATGGCTGTGCTTCAACTCTCACATCAGGCAATGCAAACAGGCTGCTCCTTGCAAGATGTTGCCCAACAAATCAGGTAATTACTTTGGAAGGATTGAACATGGGGCAGTGAAGAAGTAACAACGACTTATTGCACGTTAATCTGTAAATCTGTCAACCTCTATACTAAATGGTCTATATGAATTTGAATATGTTCTGATGAAAGATATGTATTAGTCTTATTATAAATAGATTGTGTTTGTTGTACTGTTATATAAATCTAACTGTTATTGTAATCTAATTAAAGCACCTGATCCAGGTAACATTGAAATGTATTTTTTTCTTTCAGCTTCCTACGATGCATTCCAAGATCTTTCGCCAAACACATTTCCAGAGTCAACTTCCTGACGAAAATCAGGATCCGTCGGGTGTTTGCAGAGTTTGTGCGGACCTTCCAGCAGCACACTGTTGATAAGGGGAGACTGGGCGCACAGGAAATCATGTACAAGTACATCTCTACTCTTGAACACTTGTCACTGAGTTTTGGAACAGAAACCTTCTCTGTATCCCAGCTGGAGCTTCGAGAGGACGGGGATGGAAGCAGCTCTTTCTCCAACACCGCCCAAACAGAGGGTGCCTCAAAAGACAGCTTTATAGATCCCGCCACACACGAGATAATGGTGTCAGGCACCAAGGGGATTCAGTGGAGGAAAGTCTCTGGTCAGAAGGTTTGTTAGAATGCAATTTCAAGCTTGGATGGTCTCATTCTGTGGCCGGTTGTGTATTCTTCCAGTGTGGACATTTTGTTGATTCAGTCTCTTTATCTAGGCACTGGCAAACACTTACCTCAGAAATGACTACATGAAGAAAACAAAACAGTCCGACCAACCGAACGCAAACACTCCCAACAAATGGACGTCCTTCTGTGATTTCCCTGAAATTACGCACATAGCCCTCACTGGAGATAATGTGTGCATTAGCACTCAGGACAACCACTGCATGGTGAGAGCACTTGTTTACCCTTTTATGTAAAAGCTAAAATACATACATTTAATTGGTAAATGTGTTTGTGATGCATTAGTTTAATTGGTATTCTGAATATAAGATGTTCTCCTGATCAGATTGTTAAATCTTTAAAGCGTGAATGTCCTGTACTGTGTGCTAATTCTACCTGTTTATGGCTATAGGAGCTTTGAGTACGCTTCAGGGGTTTCATTATGTTTTGAATGCGTCTGTAGGAGGAATCTCTGATTGTAAGCTAGTGGTGTTTCTGTGCGTGTATGTAGGAGGTTCAGATGAACTCCAGCCAGGAGGCCCGTTCCTTCATCTCCCTGCTAGATGGATACAACCGGCTGACTGCATTCGCCCACCACTTTCTTTGTCATGAAGTGGCTCCCCCAAGGGTAGTGCTGAGTGTAGCAAATGGACTGCATGGACCTATGCAGTGAGTTTTATCCTCTTACACATGCACATACAGATACAAGCAGGATGTGGAGAAACACAGTGTGTTATATCACAACTCTGCTGTGATTCCAGTGATGATTTTGTGCTGCTGAAGCTGAAAAAGGAGGCAGAGGAGGGAGCTTTCCTGGTACGCTGGAGTGCCCTCGACTATCACCGCATCATCCTAGCAGTCATGAAAAAAAATGAGGTAAGTCAACACCCACACTACTCTCTTGAATAGATTGCAGTGCAGTGATTGTGGAAATGTGTGTGTTTATATGTACTTCTGGCTCACAGAATGGATCAAGGCCAAACCACAAGCAGTTTCGGATTCAGCTCAAGGGTTCCAAGTTCTGTCTGGAGGGCTGGGATCGAGAGTTCTCCAGTATGAAGGAGCTCACAGAAAGCCTCAAGACCTTTGTGCTCCAGTCTGGTTCGGACAGCTTTACTGTCAAGAAATGCTGTTTTCCAAAACAAGCAGGTTTGTGTCAATTGGGCTTTTCAATTATTGATCTGTTTTGCTGACTTATGCCCACTGTGTATTTTAAAGATTTTCTGTCTTCACCTTAAAATCATAAATACATAATTTTGCTCTCACTTTCAGCGCTGTTTATCGACCTTGTTTTGATGTGATGCAGAGTGTTGGAGATATCGACTATAGAGATGACTTATTTCTCTCAAATATTGTTATATAACTACATGGAACTTGGCTTGTAGTGCTCAAAGTGCCATCAAAACAATTGAAATCCTGACCCAGTTACTGAAGATAATCCAGAGAACAAACAATGTTTCTCTACAGTGCAGAAGAAGGCCTACATCTAGTCATGGACAAGAGGCTTATGCTCATTCATTGGCGGCTGTAGTTTGGTGGGAGGAGAATAGTTCCTATAAAATATTTCAATGTCTGTGGGTTATCCGAAGTAACCAGCTCATTTAAAATATATTGCCAATACGTTTTTTCAATTAATCAAGCGTTGTTCTGTCTCTTAAAGCACCACAAGACAAGTGACATTTTGTTTCATCACATTCAAGCAAAGATCTGCAGGGTTGATAACACTATGCAACTCACACCGGAATGATCTAGATTGAGCAAGGGAGAACAATATTTTTGTGGTGAACCATCCCTTTAACATAATCTATGTTTGTGTGATGTAGAGCTCTCCAACCTTCTGGTGATGAGGCAAGGTGCTCGCACGGAGTCCTTGTTCCTGAACACAACTCAGCTGCGCTTCCACCAGATCAAGGACAGAGAGCTCGTACAGGTGACAAGACAAACTCTCCACCTACATATGACCATCTGTTCCACCGGACTAACGTTCTTGTTCTCAGTTGTGTGACTGACCAGCAAATGTTGTTTACCATCAGGAACAACATTTGGGCCGCGGGACAAGAACTAACATCTACTCAGGACGTCTGCTGGTGCGAGGCGGGGGGGGAAAATGATGAGGATGACGAGTTCAACAACAACAACTTGGCTGACCGCAAAGGAATCCCTGTGGTTCTCAAGATTCTGGACCAAAGTGATAAAGATATCGATATAGTAAGCCTTGTGATCTCTGAAAAAGGCCTCAATAGTTACCAACACTCATGTATATTTTCGAAGTAATCTTTACTCTCTCCCTTCTCTCTAAGGGTTTTTTAGAAACTGCGAGTCTCATGAGCCAGGTGTCCCACAGTCACCTGGTGTTTGTACATGGCGTGTCAGTCAAAGGATCTGAAAGTAAGAGCAACAACACTGTTCACCGTCACAAACTCAGATTATACTTTTAGATGTGTGACTTCCTCGTTTGCTACTTCCTCATCACACACATGGTTTGTGTTTTTAGTCAAATGTATGATCCCTGTATCAAGTGAGCCGTGACGCAAATGCAAATACACACTCGCCCTGTTCTGTTTTTAAAGAGGATGCTTCTTGTTTACATGCATTTTGGGGATGTACTGGAACCTTCAATCTGTCAAACCTGTTTCTTCCTTAACAGATATCATGGTGGAAGAATTTGTGGAGTTTGGGCCTTTGGATGTTTTCCTTCGAAAGGAAAAGGCATCTGTGACTCCTCAGTGGAAATTCATTGTTGCAAAACAGCTTGCCATTGCCCTCAATTATCTTGTGAGTGCAAACACTACTTTGTTTTTGAGTGCCACAGATTATTATTCAATACAATTCACTTACATTGACCACAGCTAAGTGGTCATTAACGTGAATTGAGAGTGATGTAATGTAAGTGTGGTACAATTCATCTTTAGATCGTCTTAAGCTTTACAATCAGGTGCTAAAATATTTAGAATATATAAAATATTAACAGAAAGAGGGGAGTGGGGCTATTAAACCGGACGTCAAGTTTTGAGTCTGAGCTGCAGGAAGGAAATGATACTATCTTATTATCAAACAAAACTTAACGATAAGTGGTTCATTTTTGCCTTAAGATTAACAACGATAATAGTTTATGTTTCACTTGTTTTCTTCGATACTTCGCATCACAAAAACACATTACCAGTAAGTTTGTCATCCTTGTAGGAGACCAAACGGCTGTTTCATGGAAACGTCTGTGCTAAGAACATTCTGGTGGCAAGGCGAGGTCTCGAGCTTGGCACCTCTCCTTTTGTCAAGCTGAGCGACCCAGGAATTGCCCTGAGTGTCCTTTCAAGGGAAGGTCAGTACCAGGAATTCCCTTTACTTAAACTCCTAATAAACCTCACTTTCCAAGAAGGTCTCAGTCAGCTTCAAGACTTCTCTGCTTCTTTACTGTTCTGCCTTACTGATAAATCTGATTTCGGAAGCAGGAAATGTCTACCAGACCATTTCCTCTGACTTGTGTCCTGTTCTCTTAAAGTTTTATCTCACAATGTGTTATTTAAGAATTAAATCAGTCAATCTCAAACTGCTCACATATGTTTTCTAAACACCATGGTTAGTTTTGTCTAAATTCTGCTGTTTTTATGTTTTTCTTCCAAAAAAGTTTAACCAGAGCACACAAAAATGTATTGATTTCACCTCTGTTACTTTTAATTGTCCCTATTCTGCACTGTAGAGCGTCTTGAGCGTATCCCCTGGATTGCCCCCGAGTGTGTGGAAAGCGGCGCACCCATTGGAAATGTTGCTGACCAGTGGAGCTTTGGCGTTACCTTGCTGGAAATCTGCAACAACGGCGATCTTCCAATGAGTGGCAGCACATTGTCAGAGGTATTTCTCTTCCAACAGCCACAAGCTGCACCTGCCCTGTTGACTTCCATTTGTAACAATGTAACCCCCCCCCCCCCCCCCCACAACAGAAAGAGCGCTTTTATCAACAAAAGGGCCGTTTAGCAGAACCATCCTCCCAGGAACTGGCTCGCTTCATCAACATGTGTATGACCTACGAGCCAATGGAGAGGCCTTCGTTCCTCACTGTGCTCAGAGAGCTCACAGACATCATAATCAAAAGTGGGTCTTTACTAGCTCACCTCTTAGTTTTTTTGTCAGTCTAATTTTGGTGATATATATAATTTGTCTTGGTTTTTCTTGATCACAGATCCGGATATATCCCCCAGTGAAAGTCTCCCTGACTCAGACCCGAGCGTGTTCCACAAACGCTACCTGAAAAAGATGAGGGACTTGGGAGAGGTAAGTTCCAATACCACATTACCTGTAGTATTCTTCTTCCTGTATGCTCGAGAATAATCCCCCTGCTCATTGCTCCGTCTGCAGGGACACTTTGGGAAGGTGACTCTCTACCAGTACGACCCGGCCAATGATGGGACAGGAGAGCGCGTGGCCGTGAAGGCTCTGAAACAAGAGAACAGTCAAGTGCTTGAAGGCTGGATGAAGGAGATTAACATCCTCAAGTCCCTCTATCACAGCAACATTGTCAAGTACAAAGGCTGTTGTACTGAACTCGGTGAGTCCTCAGCTGTCTTCGGACTGCTTCCTTTAGGTTTTTTGAAATTAGAGATGCATCTGTTATGAAAACATCAGTGAAAAAGTGAAAATGCATAAGATTGCAATTCAATCCCATGCATGCTACTTCAAAATCAAAATCCTTGGCTTTTTCTGCTGGCCTTCTCCCCTGCTCATATGATAACTTTTTGTATGTGACATACAATTGAATTTGCCACTACAAAAAAGTTACAAAAATGTGTTTGCATGTTGTCAATTAACGTTCTTTGACATATTTTTTTTTAAATGCAAGGTCAAACTTAAAAAAAGTTGCATTTACCGCATTTCTATTTGAAATATAAATGAACATACATTGACTACATGTGGAAAGAAGTGCTTGATGACTACTCTGTTTCAGCTTACAGTGGTCAGCGGACAATTCAGGGAATAGATTTTTGTTCCTTGCTTTTTTTCTGTAGATATTGAAAATCTTTTCAAAATGCAACCCTGTCTCCCTTGTATGTCAATATTATAAACTTCATCTCACAGCACACTGAGCATCACAGCCCCTTCAGCACTAGAGTAGGCAGCAGGTCATTCGTGCCTTTGATGGAGAATGAAGGATGAGTACTGATGCTTTGTACATTCTCAGGAGGACAGGTGGTGCAGCTGATAATGGAGTACCTTCCTCTGGGGAGCCTGAAGGAGTACCTTCCCAAACGTAAGCTGGGAAGGCCTCAGTGCCTTATGTTCGCTCAGCAGATCTGTCAGGTGAGTGCAGATGTTTTGTGTTGATTTTGCTAATCCAGATTTCCAAATTCAAGTTAGTCTGTTCTATAGTGGGTGAGATACTTCTTAAAAGATGAGCCACAACAGTTTCCTTTTTAAAAACTTTGTTCATCAGTTTTTTTTACACTGTTAAAGTTTGCAATCCTATCTTTATTAGATCCATCTTTCATTTATGTTGTCTACGTTCAAAGGGTATGGAGTACTTGCACTCTAAACGATACATCCATCGAGACCTCGCTGCCCGAAATGTCTTAGTGGAAAATGAGAGTTTGGTGAAGATTGGAGACTTTGGCCTGACCAAATACATCCCTGAAGGCGATGTCTACTATCGTGTCCGTGAGGAGGGGGACAGTCCCGTCTTCTGGTAAGTTCACGCAGCACTTAAAATATGGATTCAATGATCTGTTCCATGATAACCATTCAACTGTGTTTTTTTCTGTATGCATAGGTATGCCCTTGAGTGCTTGAAGGAATACAAATTCTCCTTTGAGTCAGATGTTTGGTCCTTTGGCGTTACGTTGTATGAGATCCTGACCCGCTGTGTACATCGCCAAAGCCCGCAAGAGGTACATCATCACCGGCCTCTTATAACAAGCTCTAATCAGAATAAATTCCCATTTTAGACAATTACAGTCAATTTTGAATCCCTTTGTAAGATGCACAATCTGCTCTGTTGTGTTTGTTTTGTAGAAGTTCAGGGAAATGATGCAAGACACCAAGGAACACATGACTGTGATGGTGCTCATAAAGCTGTTGGAGAAGCAGCACCGATTGCCTGGCCCCGAAAACTGTCCACATGAGGTAACATACTAATTAAACACTCTTGACATTTTATTCAGATTATGAGTAGACTGATATATTAACAATTATTGTTTTTTAACCAACAGGTGAAGATTTTAATGGAGCAGTGTTGGGCTGCAGACTCAGCACAACGGCCATCATTCACAACCCTCATCGAAAAGTTTGAGGCCATTCGCCATACATACTGCCACTCCAATATAAAGTTTTCCTCGGCTCAGATTAGCTGAACAGGACTGTGAAGAACCAGCTTGTCCACATGGCATCCCTCTGCCACCATAACCACATTACAGGCTAACCAGTTGTGTTTCCGCTGTGCAATGCCTGCTGCCTTCATTTACATAGATATCTTTACATTTATTTTTTGATAAAAGCAAACAGCTATCCTCTCATATGTGATATGTGACCAAGCGGTACTTAATCAGTGTGTTTGTTTTCCTGTCATTTGAGTTAACTTTCATCTTTCCTTCTCTTACAATAATAATAGGTTTGCATATATCACAGTAAGTATTAAGAATTCCTGTAAGGTTGTGAGATTTCTCTTTCATTTGATGTTTTTTAAATGTTTTGTCTGTTTTAACTTTCGTTTCATTATGTATAAACCAAAAGAACAAATTCAAAATATAATACACATTTCTTTTCATGACAGTCTATTAAAAACTGAAACTTATTTATCAAAAAGTGTAAATGAATGCTTTACAGCTAAATATCTGTTACATGAAAAGTAATTGATCATAACCTAAGGGATGTCCTATAATTAACTTTTATATTCGAGACAGATAACTGACCTGGGAAATATCCTGTATTATGTTCACCTTTTAAATGCATCCAATACCGTTGGCTGAACCAGACCAGTCAATCTGTTGGCAATCCTGCACCTGTGATCTTGCTGCACAGCGACAACAAAAATCAACAGAATTAATGCTACTCTGACATTGGACGATATTTTTTTACTGATTTACTCGATAGCTGCATAGAATTGTTGGTATGAGCTGGCCAAATGATCCATGACAGATGCACACAGCTGTCCTGGCATGCAGAATATATTCATTTTAACAGGTGTTCGGATCTGGACAGACAAAAATCCAATACAAATGAAAAGTTACAAAGGTTCTCTGTTTTGCCATTGGCTTTCCAACTTTCTAAAAGCGGAAATAAAGTGCAGAAAAGACCAAAGGCTAGTATGCGTAATGTATATTGTCTAGTACTGTAAGTAATATTCCATAATGTACACACCATCAGCTGACACTCTTCCTACATGCTATGGTACTGTTCCTCATGGGAACCGAGGAAAGAAAGTGTCTTCCAATTAAAAAATATTGTGATAGGATTACATTTTGCAATTTAGACTTATTTTATTTAAACACATTTTTAATTGTACAGTATGTCCAATGTAGTGAACCTGAAGACCTTTTTGGTGAAAAGTAATGTATGTAAAGTATGTAACATAGTATGCCTATAGATTGATATTAATACAGGAATACGTTCACATAAGTAATTGATCTGAACATTGTTGTATAGTTGGACACTAAACTAGTTTGTTTTTTGTTGTCAATGTACTGGGAAAAGCACTAAATTGGATTCCAGTCTGCACAGGGTGTAGGGTCATCTTGACTTGTTTCATGGATGTGGTCTCCAATTGATCATACTCATAGGAACAAACTTTGAATTCCTGAGGCAATTCTAATTTTTCATGGCACCACTTCAATAAAAAAGCAATAAAACAGACTTGCTACTCTTGGCCCACAGAGGGACATGTCTTTCCTGCTCATCCCTATCTGTCTCTATGTCTGTATATGTCTGCTCATCTGAGCCTCCTGCAACTTTTCCCTCTTCTTCTTCACCCTCCACTATCCCAGGTGTGAAATCCTCATCCCTCATCATCTGAGAGCTCAAAATCAGTATCTCCCTCAACTATCTCGTACAGTATATGTCTGCTTCAGTTCTGTTTCCTGCAACAACAAGTCATTAAGTACATGAAGATGGTCCTGATTTCCACTGGAACTGACATTTATAAAAGAGCTGTTATTTCAATAACATACACTATCTGACATACACGTCCTCCTCCTATGAAATGTTGTTGGTGCCTGCCATTTTGGATGAAAATAAAGAGGAACTTCCCAGCATTCAATTTTAACCTGGAAAGCCCAAGATGTCCTCTGTACAATGCAGCAGGTAGAGTAGCTCAAAACAGTAAAAGGATATGCATGAGAACAAAATGTCCACTACAGAGGACAATGGGCTGGGTCTCTGGGATGTGAGACCATAAGACCAGGTTTCGAGTTATGTGGGAGCCAATGGGAGCTGAGCTCCCATAAGGAGGGGTCTGAGCTCCCACGGACGCAGTGAAATCATACATCTGTGGGGGTCGCTAATACATTACCAACAACCATTATTTTAATCACAAATAATGCATGTGTCAATGTAATGAGTATTATTTACGTTAAAGGTTGGGTAGGTAAGTTTGAGAAACCGGCTCGAGATACACTTTTTGATATATTCCATGGAATGCTCTTAACATCCCGATAGCAATGAATATCTTAAGTGCTTTGACAAAAAATCCATAAAAAAATGTCATCTGTGGAAGCTGTAATACTGTAAAAAGTACGACCAATCATTTTAGCCGGCCCGGCTAAAATAACTGGATGGCCTACCTGCCTGTCAGCCTTCCATCTGTGCACAAACTTATCTCGTGCCCTCATTGGTCATGTGCGCGTTCGTGTGTGTTGGAGGAGGGGCTCTATAAGGAAGTGGCAGATTTTCTCCGGTTGTGTATTTTCAAATTCTAGCGATCTCGAGCCGGTTTCTCAAACTTACCTACCCCACCTTTAACGAGGTAAATAGGCTAAAAGAAAAACATGTTTTCCAAAAGAACAACGCATCTCTTGAATAACAATATGCCTGCACTGCACCTCCAAGGTGCGCAATACTTTATTGCACAATCTATGCCTGTGAGCGTGCCGCGCGAGCCGAGATGATGTGTGTGTGCGTAGTTGAACCTTTTCATACAGGGCGGTGGTAAGTAGGGGTGCTGAGGGTGCTGCAGCACCCCCTGATGGAGGACAGGGAATCTGCACGTCCACAAGATTAAATGGAAATATAATACAAATATAATACAAAAAAAACTAATTTTTGGCCTTGATGTTCACATTCATAATTAAGTAAAGATAACACCCTTTTCACCCCGGTTACATTTTCCATGTGCCCTGAGAGGCTCAGTGAGGTAAAGGACTCTGAGTGTTTAGATAGTTCACTTTAGTCTAAGTTATCTCAGTGTGTCTCAAACGGTTTTATCACAATTTATGTAAACAAATATTTCCAAGGCACACCTTTATAATTATTAGGATAAATAAAAACAGGTTTGGAATCATTCCAATGTCATTTCATTTCATTTCAAACCTTTATTTAACCAGATTGGTCCCATTGAGATCATAGATCTCTTTTTCAAGGGAGACCTGCAGCATATAGGTTCCACATGAAACATAAAACAATAAAGGACATTATACATTATATTTACAGGTTACATTTACATAGTTATCGACATTTACAAGTACCCATAGTATCAACGAGCATTTCATTTAGCCTAGCTTTAAAAACATGCAGAGGAATGAGATTGCTCAGTTTCAATTATTGCTGAAGATTGTTCCAAGCAAGTGGAGCTGCGCACATAAAAGCTGTCTTACCTAAGACAGTCCTTGCTCTTGGCACATGTATACTATAGGACAGTAAACCAACAATATCCTTTAAAACTGGAGAGATTAAAAAATATGGATGAATAAATAAATGTTAACTGATAAAATAAGATATAATTGAACCAGCAAAAATCTTGCCTAGGGCAGCAAATTGGTCAGAACCGGCCCTGGTGTCATCCCCACAGCACCCCCCATTTGAAACATGTTCCCACGGCTATGTTTTCATATTTAAGTTTGTAGCAAGTAGAGGGCTGCTGGCAGGCCCGGACTGGCCATCGGGAGGGCCGGGAGGTTTCCCGATGGCCTAGCGATTTTTTTTTTTTTAATGTAGGCTATTGTGAACGCAATGCTGCGCAAATGTGGGTTTGCCTCACACAGGGTGACTGTCTGTCTACATGATGTGGCATCTGTTTCATATGGGTGTTTCCATAGATCTAGTCTCTTTATTTTCCCCTCAAAATGCACCAGATTGATGCATTTAACTCCAAAATTAAAAAAATATCTTACCAGGGGGGGCATGCCCCCGGACCCCCCTAGAGGATTTGAGGTCCACCCCCAAAATATGTTCACATGGATAGGTTCCCAAATACATTTGCAATTTTTTTAAATAGTAACCCCTGTCCATATGTTTATTATTGGTGTGTGTGTGTGTGTGTGTGTGTGTGTGTGTGTGTGTGTGTGTGTGTGTGTGTGTGTGTGTGTGTGTGTGTGTGTGTTTGAGTTTGAGTGTGCGCGTGCATGCGTGCGCACGCATTAGTTTCAAAGACCCCCATAGAGCTCAGTTTATAACTCGAACCCTGCATAAGACGGACTGTTTGTTACAAGCCAACCAGCCCACTGCAGGGGACATCAAGAAAATATAGAATAATATGAATCAGCCCATGTTTAAATACAAAAAACAATATAGTAAGCATATAATTCAAAGCAGACAGTAAACTGCAACAACATGAAAGGTATCCATATGGCTGTACGTGTTTATTAAGGTTTTTTTTTTAAATTCAAGTTTCATTATATTAGGCCTATATTATGTTCTTTGACACTTATAAATCTCCTGATGTAAGACTGAGAAGGATTTTAAGATCTTTATAGTCCAAAGTTTTATATCTGATGAATTATTGACATGCAAGACTGCTTATAAAAAGTAAACGTGTCATACACAGAGGAGGTTCAATGTGCTGTAAAGAGAAGTTAAAACAATACCATTTAAAGGCAATACACAATATATATATATATATATATATATATAAAGTAATAATAATAGTAGTAATAATAATATAATAATTATTATTATTATTATTACTAATATTTAAGGTCATGGTTTTGTCATCTATATCCTAAACTGCAATGATTGGCGCATTCCTTGGACATAAATGTGTAGTTTTTTCCTGTTTTTTTGTACCTAGGTAAAGTATGTGCGTTTAAAGCCCATTGGCTTGTCTCTACTGAGAACTGCAGGATCTGCAGCATTCATGTCCAGTTTGAGTTAACGTGGCCCCGCCCCCTACCTCAGTTACGTCGTAGTCATGGAGAATGCGTCCTCCTCTCGTCCAATGAGAAGCGGCGCTGGGGCCATGTGTGTATTGTTTAAACTGCTCAAATCGGGCTGAGTTTTCAGACCGACAAAAACTTCCACCAAACAGAGTGATGGCGGCCGTTGTGTCTGTTAGCACAGCTGCCAGAGATGAGAGCACAGACACAGGTCTCAGTTTCGCCCCTCGTCCGCTTCACGATAACTATGACCTCCCTGTGGATGCGGGTCACGAAAGCTGGATGTCCGGAGGAGACCACCGGTATCATGAACCCGGCGGAGAGGACTCACCGTCGGACCGCGACTGTCAGCGGAGGGTCGACGAGGACCTGACATCACTGAGCCCCGAAGAGATAGAGAGCCGCTTAGAGAGAACTCGCCGGGAGTTTTACAACCGTAGAAAAATAATAATAAAGAATCTACCCTCCGACGTTAGCAATCAGGTAAGAGAAAAAAGTCCTGGAGGTTTCACTTATTGGATGATTGATTGATTGCTAACGTTAGCCTAGCTCCAAATTGCTTTGCCATGCTACCTATCTTAGCCGAGTAGCCATTTAACTAGTTAGCTGATTTTAGGTTTGAATAGTGCGATATTTTGTTTTAATGAATCTGCAATTGGTTGAATTTTTAAAGGCAACACACCATAGCTGTTATTTGGTAGCCACATAGTATCATTATTGTTTTACTTCGGGGTTTGGGTTGTTAGTATTTCTGCCAGGTGGTCAGATAACTGTCAATAATGGTCATCTGTGGCCTGCATGACCTGCCACTCCTGCCTCGTAGGCAACAACTTGATAACTTTTTATATTTGGATTTTATTTTCACTATTTTAAACTCTAAATCAAAACTGTCGTTGATTATCCTCCCCCACATGGCGGTTACAGGTGCAGTGGGACTTTATTCATCAGCCCATCTGTTGTTTAAGCTGGCGTTTGGTTGTATCGACCAGCCAGTGACTTACTCATGATGCCACATTTTTTTGGAACGTGCCTGACTCGTGGGGAGCGGTGGGCCTGCGGGCGGAACCATTGTTCACAGAGAGGGGGGGGGGGGGAGCAGTGGGAGTTCGAGATGTGAGTTGCAATACAACAAAAGGTGGAAGGTGTAGAGACAAAACGTTTCAGAAAATGCTAGATTGAATCGCCATTCGTTTGTGAATGGTCAAAAGCAGCGCAGAACAATTTCTCATAGAACAATGAGTCAGTTGTTGACCTCTGACTCCTCCACAGGTGCAACTTGTTGCTAGTTTCCAAGTGACATGAATGAGTTAATTATGTGAATACTTATCTACAGTTAACCAATTTACAATAAAAAAAACGTCTTCTTTTAGTAAAATATTCTATGTGTGGTTCCTTGGTTAAATGGTTGTATCAATTCAGATTTCTTAATGTCATTTTTGTTTTTTCTCATTCACAGGAGGTCCATGAGCTGTTGGGCAACTATGACTTGAAGTACTGCTTTGTGGATAAATACAAGGGCACAGGTTAGTTTAACTAACTTGAATGAATAATAAATGAACTTGAACTAAATCCCTCAAATTAGGGCTGTGCGATTATGGCAAAAATCATAATCACGATTATTTGGGTCAATAATTGATATCACGATTATTAAATACGATTATTCATTGACTTTGAAAAAATCAATTTATTGAACTTTAAAACAAATACAAATAATAATTTGAACAGTATCTTTTTAACTGTTGATTACCCTGAACGTATAATTCAACTGAAAAACCAATACAAAAATAAATGATACATTTAAATAAATAATATCAAAATAATAAATACCAATAAACAAGATCAACACATATTTTGGAGCGCACTTCCACAAGCTACTAAACATATATAAATACAAATAAATGAGACCAAAATGAATTGGATCAAATATGTTGCAGTGCACTGTCACAACCTAGCAAAGCAAAATAATAGTTTTTTTCGATTATGTTGTTTTCGTAATTGTGGCAGGCCAAAATCGTAATTGCGATTAAAATACGATTAATTGCACAGCCCTACCTCAAATGTTACCCTAGTTGTTTGCTGCTGGTTTGTATTCAAGGTGTGATTGTAGTCTGTATACAAGCGGCCCCCTTCGGCTCTGAAACAAACCAATACAGGAGTGCCTTTATATTATATATTAGGTCTATGAGAAAATGATCCTACTTCTAACTTGATTTGTTAGCTAGGTAAACATTTCTTTATTACTTTATGGTCTCAATTGGTAGAATTGTCATTAAAATATGATGTCCATTGTGATTGACGGGTCGTTACTGCGGTTTTGTCCAGGTCTTGTCTGTATTTTGGTCTTAGAACTTTAATTTCACAGAAAGATTTCAGTTGGTAACTTGTCTTTCTTAATTCAGCATTTCGGTTGTTGGTTCGGAATCTCGTGTCACTCCTGGTTGCAAAAAGACACAATATGGCAACAGTGAAAATGTCAAAGTTATTTCAGTGTTTCCCCTACCATTGTCTTGGAGGGGCGCTGCGCCCCGCCAACGGAGCCCCGCGCCCCCCCTGAAATTCAAGGTGTTTACATTTTTTTTTATAAATATATATAGCACCAAATTGCAACTAATCTATATCTACTGTCACTTTTCACATTGAACATGTGCTCTTTTATTAAATAAACTAAACGCTTTCATTTTAAGTTGTGAGTTTAGTATTTTTGACCCTAAGAAACACTGATGCATTAATCAATAACAATAATCCACTGCTCCTCTCTCTGCTCCAGAGGATTAAAAAAATATATAAAATATATTTGAAACTCTCATACAAACAAAACAATGTTCTAAAGTCATGTAACCAGAGTTCTTCCTCATCCCACTCTGCATTTAACTTAATGTTTGCCCTCTTCATCCTTACCTTATAAGGCGGCAGGATTGGCAAGATCCAATCTGTGAATTTGATTGACATATGGTTGAACTCACTTGTCGCATCAACAGTTACTTATTTGGATGCATCAAGGAAACCAGATTCTGTGAATCTAAATGCAAAAATAATCAGTCATAAATTATCCTTAGGGGTATAAATTCACCTTGTATGCCCCAAAATGTGAGCTGCGTCTTAAATCAGGGGAATTGCTTGTTTACAATGGTCTAATTGCAACAAAGATCAGGTTTTCTTTAGAAGCCTCAAAATCAATTTGTCAGGAAGATCTGACATTCAAGAGCACTTAAACAGCAAACTGCACCTTAATGTCTGATAATAATGGGGCAGGAAATAGCATAAGCCAGATGGTAAACTCTGGGTATGTCTGCTATCTACCAAACTGCTGCGGCAGATAACCTTCACATTTAGGTGTGCTTTTGTAGAAAAATAGTTGGCTGGTGAAAAGGTTAGGCTATAATAACCTTTTATTTTAATTTGGCTTTCAGGCTGCAACATTTTTTTTTTGTTGTAATCCTCCACTTCTCTTTCAAAACATGGGTTACAGGATGTTTTTGTGACACTGAGCATCACACCATAGGGCTCTGTTGTACAAGAGTCTGTCAAATTGGTATACACTTTGAATTGGTGATGTCAACTATAAACAGGGCTATATGTGTGTTTTTTAGGTTTGAACATAATCAGATAAAATGCCTTTTTGATTCTTGTCAGCCATGATGGCTCCCTTTTGTAGTCTCAATAAGATAAATGTTGCAGTGCCATGAAAGCATGTGGGTGGTGACATTCTGCCACCAGCGTTGTCTTTTATCACACCTGGAGGACTGTTATCACTAAGGCTGGCTCCCTGAGACCTGCTGTATATGAAGAATCTATTTGAATGCTGACTGAACAAATATCACTGCCTCACTTTTAACGTTTCCCTCTTTTCCCCTTAGCATTTGTGACACTTCTCAATGGGGAACAGGCGCAGTGTGCTATCAAAGACTTCCACCAGCATGTGCTACGGGACCGGGAGATCTCTGTGCAGCTGCAGCCAACAGACGCTCTGCTGTGCATCGCCAACCTGCCCCGCGCCTTCACCCAGCAGCAGTTTGAGGAGTTGGTGCGGCCCTTTGGTAACCTGGAGCGCTGCTTCCTGGTGTACAGCGCCTCCACGGGGCACTCCAAGGGCTACGGCTTTGTGGAGTACATGAAGAAGGACTCTGCTGCCAGGGCCAAGTCGGAGCTGTTGGGAAAGCAGCTGGGCTCCCGCATGCTGTACGTCCACTGGACTGAAGTGGGCTCCCTCACATATCCACTGCTGAACTCCAAGTGTCTGTGTGTGGACCGCCTGCCCTCCAGCCTGCTGACAGCCCAAGACCTCCGCAATGCCCTGGCTGACACCCATGCGCCAGTCTTCTGCCAGGTCAGATTCAACACAAAAACACTCCGGGGCTGCAGCTAACTTTTGTTTCATCATAGATTAAACTGCCATACATTTTCAAAAGTAGTGGAGTAATAATTTGATCTATAAAATGTCAGAATATTAGGACATCCCAGTTTCTCAAAGTCAGATGTGATGTCTTTCTTTAATGAATGCTTATTGGTGATTATTTATCTGTTGATCGCTCAAGGATTAGTTGCAGCTCTAAAACACTGGTACAAATTGATATGATTTTTAGAAAAATGATTTATCCAGATTGTATTTTACACAGATAATGAATGTTATACTAGTTTGGATCAGCCATTTGATGTTCCCAGATTGGATTTGAATTGAATGTGCTGACATGTGTATACGAGTTGTAGCCATGCCACTGAAGGGGTACGGATGGCAAGATTCTATTTTTGTGTATATACACAAATGAAATGTTTTGGTGTTTCTGTACCCTTTCACCTTTACCCCAGTTTTCCTGTGGCCACTCAAAGTTTCTATAGCAGTGAGCATTGCTGGTTTCTATGGTGATGACCACCTGACTCCCCCAGGTGGTGTCATTCAGCGGGCTCTTCTGGAAAGAGAGAGCGTCGGCCTTTTTAACACGCATAGTTGTGCTTTCTGCTGGTTTCAGGGTTTTTAAGGATTGTGGCAAATGCAGTGATTTAATGGACACGTTTTAACAAAATGCAAATAGGCTTTTGTTTATGAACTATTTAAACTTGGTGTTTTCAAATCATGAGGCTACATTTGGTGCCTGATTTATTTTAAGGCCTGTAAATTTCACAACTTATATTTTAGAAAAGCAACTCTGTAATAAACTTGTTTTGTGTACAATGTTGAGGAACAGTCAAATATAAGTATTATGAGAGGTTGCCTTATAAAACCTGTAGTTTCTATCAAATTGCCTGAATGCCACCAAGTCACTAGATCTGTTTTGATAAAAAGATTCTGGTTCATTTCCGTTTCACAGGACATTTCCTACCTAAATGTGCTTTTAGATATATGTGCAGCACATATGGGTGAAGGTCAAAAACCACAAGCCTAGCAGTCAGTGTTGTACCGGTGTTACTGTATTCGTTAGCAACAAATTGCCTTTAAGATATGAGAATAACCGTTTTTTTTTCTCCACACAGTTGGCTCAGGGACAAGATGGAAGTTTTCGTCGGTTTGCGGTCTTAGAGTTTCCCTCATCTGAGATGTCAGAGGAGGCGCAGCGTCTGGCTGACGGCAGGCTGCTCGGCGGGACAAACATCAGGGTGTCCTTCTGTGCCCCTGGGCCTCCTGGAAGAAGCATGTTGGCTGCTCTGATCGCTGCCCAAACCATGGTATTTAAGTCAAACTAATGTGTCAGTCAAAAGCTACTATTACATTTGCCTTTGTGCTGACTGCCTGTTCTGTGTCCTCTCCCCTTTTTTTTTTTTTTAAGGCTGTGAATAGGGGTAAAGGTCTCCTCCCTGATCCCACAGCCATGCAGATACTAACAGGCCTGAATAACCCCGCCACCCTCAAGATGCTGCTCAACCCGCTGTCACAGGGGCCCAAACAAGGTGAGAATGACTCACTTCCTCTTAATCAATGCCTTTTTAATTGTCGGGTTTGTTCTGGAGCTGTGAGTCCTGATGTCCTCTTTGTGTGCAGGCCTCCTCGGGGCAGCTCCCACAATGCCCCTGCTGGCCAACCCCGCCCTCTCCGCCGCCCTGCTCCAGCTGCTCCTTCAGAACCAGGCCAAGGCGCAGCAGGTACTGTAGCCTTTCTGCCTTTTTTACTCTGACATGTGGCTCCTTTTCTCGCTCGGCTCGCTTTGATTCATCCTCACCCACTCACACTCTCTTTCCCACCCCCCCCCCCCCCCCCCCCCATACTCTCTGCTCTTTCCTTCTTCACCATTAGCAAGCCTTTCTGGGAAATCATCTTCTTTGGGCTCAGGTGCTGCACAATAAAGAAAACCCTCTAGTCCCTTGTGTGAGTGATAATGGTGTTTTGTGTTTGGCTATTGGTGGGTAAGCTGGATTGATCTTTTTGTGTGATTGGTGATAGAAGAACATGATGCCTGGGTGGGTAAGCTCTCGCTAGGAAATTGAGGTTTGTTTTGTGTGTGTGTGTGTGTGGGGCGTACTTTTGAGTGATCTGATTGGTGTGCACAAAATGTGTAAATAGCCACTCTGCAAGGACATCATTTCATACGTGGTGAGTAAGACTCAGTGTTGATTAGGTGTGCTGGTGTAGTGCAGCGGTTCTCCCCCGCTCGAGTGTTGCAGCCAGGCTGTGACCCTCCTGTGACACGGACCTTTGCTCTCTCTCCTTTGGCCAGCAGGCAGGACTCATCGGGGAGAATCCTCTGGCCGCTCTGCCTGTCCAGCAGGGAGTCCATCTGCTCGGAGACCTGCCCCAAGGTTTGACATTCCTCGACTCCAGCCGCACGTTATATTTTTTTCTTCTTCGCATATGATGCTTAACATCTGTATCCCCACCGGGCTTGTAAATAATAGTTTCTCCCCTTTTTTTTTAAATTGCTCATTACATTTTGCTTACAATTCAAGATGGCATGCATGTTAACATTTAAAAATATATACAGATCACAGTTATTGTAAATTCAATAATCTGTCTTTTAGGTCTTGGTCTTCAAACGGATCCTATGGGCCCCCTGAAGTCAATGCAACATGGCAGATCCCTGGCAAGGGAGCAGGAGTCCCCCACAGCAACGTGCACCTTCCCCCAGACTTCCTCTCCCACCCTGCAGGGCATCTCCATGCCCCTGATGGGTGGCATGATGGGAGCAGATGGCCTCACAGCACAAGGGGTGAGGTCCCAAGCAATTTCCATAATGTATTCTACCTCTTGTATTTGTGTCTAGCGTTGTGCCCAAATGTAAATAACAGAATAATAAAAAGCCATTTTCCCCTCCGGTAAGGTATCTATACTGGGAGACCCTCCAAAAGATGTGAACCATCCCCAGAGTGCCTTCCTCGGTGTCAATGGTTTTCCCTCAGGTAATTTCCTTTTTGTTTTTAAATACTGTGTAGTTCTAATTTTCCTACAGCTTAATAAATAGAAAAACATATTCCAGCATACTGTATAATGTCTGTTTGCACTTTGTTACTCCAGTAGAAAGCTGCAGACCTCACCCCTATAGGAAAAGACCCACTCTAAGTAATGTGTCCAACCATCACACACATCAGAGCTTACAGCCAAATTACAACCTGCGCTACCAGGACTCCTACAGCCCAGAGTACCCTCCTCTCCACCAGGTAACCACCGTTGAAAGACTTGTTCCATGAAAAGATGTCATTGTGACCTTATGAATTCAGGGTTTAGTGCATGGCTGCTCGTTCACTGTGCTGTATGTGATCTGGTGTTTCTCCTCAGGATCCTCTGGCCCACCTGTATGAACAGCAGGAGAACCTTGATACTGGAGCTTTGGCTGGATTTGGTCAGCAGGTAGGGTTTTGTCAAACATTTAAAGACTGCAGTATTTTAATTGGATTATAAGGGGGTTTAACTGTTCTGAACTCAAAACCAAATCTCAGGATGAAAATGTATTATTTATTATATATTATGTACTATTATGTATTATGTCCCCGGGCGCCGTTCATAATGGCAGCCCACTGCTCCTAACACTAGGATGGGTCAAATGCAGAGAAACCATTTCGTTACATAGTAAGTAGGCCTACTGTGTAATGACAATAAAAGTATAAAAAAAATATATATATATATATATTTAAGCAATAGCTCACGACAGGCCGTGGTATATGCTCATTATATCACAGCTAAGGGGCGTGGTTCGGCCCGACGCGAATATAACAACCCCAATATAAATATATATATATATATAATATATATATATATATATATATATATATATATATATATATATATATATATATATATATATATATATAATATATCATATATATATATATATTATAGGATAGGCTTACTTGCAGGCAAAGTCAACTGTTAGAAATATCTATTTGTCCTCTTATTTAACGAATCAATAAGCCGTCTTAACTAATAGTTATTGAAGTGTTGTGGTTTATACAATAAAACTGATACATTTCCTCTTTTTTAATTGAGCTACTCCTCTGCCCCAAACGGTGGAATTGTTTCCCCCTGGTTATTTGATGACATGCTTACTGCCCAACTCTAACACACTTTGTTTCTGCAGCTTCCCCGTCACCCTGACTACAGTGAGCGGTTCCCCCCCTACAGTTACCCTCCCAGTGAACCCATGTCCCCCTACTACAGCTCGGGGCCGGAGGACGGAAACCTTCCAACCCCCCATCTCAACAGGGTAAGCCTGAAGCTTCCGACTGTCCTCTTTTTCTTTTTGGAAATGTTTTCGAAGAATAATCCAATGATCAATAATGAATGTGACTCTGAGTGCATGAGCCTCGGTAGAAGTGTAGTCCACTGAAGGCTGCTTGTTTGTCCTCAGGCTGTGGGAATGCCTCCTGCGAGCCACGCCACAGACTTCCCTCCAGGCCTGAGCAATGCTGCCAAGGTAATATTTAAACCTTCTTGTCGAAGCGTTATGAGTCTTAACTTTTTGTGAAAATGTTTGACTTTTAAACCCATCTGCTCTTTATTGATTTTATGTTTTTTTTTCTTATATATATATACAAATTCTAGACTCCTATTGGTGGCCACAAGCGTGTGTTCTCCCGGCTGATCCCATCTCCGGAGCCGAGCCCTGAGGGGGGCTACGTGGGCCAGCACTCTCAGGGCCTTGGGGGCCACTATGCAGACTCCTACCTGAAGCGAAAGCGTATATTTTAGGTACAGCTGAATGCTTCTTGCTGTAGGAGTAGCCAATCAGCAGCCAGGACACAATGGCATCTCCTCCGCTCTCCTTTGGTGAACTTTATAGCGTGGTGGTCCTTGGATTTGTCTCTGTACTCCTGAGGGACCCCTGGAGGGTCGGGGAGTGCAGCCTGTTGCTATCTGGACAGTTGTGTCACTTCATTGGAATTCTTGGTGGTTGTATTTTTTTCTGTTGTGTATATATGATTTTAGTGTGTTGGTAAATTTTAAGTTTTTACTTTTTTTCCTTATTTTCTTTATTTGACTTTTAATTTCCTGTTGAAAAACGTGTACAGTGAGAAAAAAAAAAATGGTTAACCAGCAAATGGAAGTATTTTTTCTTGATCATTTTTATTCCTGTGAGTGTGCCGTATCAGCAGGGCTACAGATAGTTTGGCCAGTTTTCAATGGCGGCCAGAGGCTGGTTTTCATAATGTAAAGTGAGGCTGTCCACAATTTCCGTAAAGGGACTTCGTAGTATTTAAAAACAAGCTTTAATTCAAAAGTTTATTTTTTTTAATTTTTTTTTTTTAAACAGCCTTCCTAATTCCATGTAAAAAGTTCAGTAGTTTGTTTATAGAGATGGTGTTTTTCCTTTTTTCTCCTTTCACAGGGTTGTATATTTTGCTTTATAACTCTTTCTGGATCCAGGCCTTATTTCATTGGTTAACATGCAGCTCTCCATCCACCAATGACAGCTGTATGTACCAGCCTGTGTATAATGACACTGAAGCTTTTTACCCTTCTGGCATATTTTCTCAAGCCTAATCTTTTCCACGTTGTTTGTCCTTTGATTCACACCCTCCAACTTGTTTGCGGAGTCTGTTCTCTACACTGGTTGAGTGATGCACTTGGAGGTCACGATCCTATCTGTTCTCACCGCTATAAGATGCCATTCTTAAGTCTTCTCTCACCCGTATGTCCAGGAGTTAAATGTTTTCTGTGTTTGTATGAGTTCTGGTTTATAAAGTCTAAACGTCACACCTCTGGTTGAGTTGATGGGCCGGTGGACATGTGCCATCCCTTTGAGTCTTAAGATGTACTAATGGAAGCTGGTGGCAGGTGATTGGTCAGTGACATGGCTGTCTGTGTTTTTCTTTTTTCTCTCTTTTTTTTTAATCTATCTGGTTGACAGTTTGATTGTGAAAACCCCATTACCTCTGACTTCTGCTAGGAAATGCAGCTACACTTGAGCCTTAACAGTGTTTTCTGTGACATCATCCTGCCCTGTGTTGGCTTACATCTTACCATTTCTGTGTTTTTTGCTGTGTAAATAGTAAAGCTTGATACTTTTCCAGAGTCCAAAACTTTTGTTTTTCTTAAATCATACCTGCCTCTGGTCTGGTGTTTTGAATGAATTTGCTGCTCCACGTGTTTTTGTTGTTTGGCTGTATGTGGGACAGCTGAGTGGCGCCACAGCAGGCCGCCCATGTTGTGTATGGACCAAGAGATGCAGCCGTACTGTGTGATCATTTAGTTTGATTCTACCATCTTCTCATCTGTACCGCCATTGTTGTCTCTGTATGTGTGTGATGAGAGCAAGTAAATGTTATTTAAACTTATAATGTTGTCATTTCGTTTATTGCTTGAGCTTTACTGCAGCTGGTAGCTACATGATGATCTTCTTTTTAGGGTTAACATATCTTTGTACTTTATCCCAAAAAAGTTTGTCTTGTTTTTAGGGACATGCCCTTGTTTTTGGTTGAACACAAACACATAATTTCCTCTTGAAGCACAACTGCCTTTAGGAGGTTCATTTTTGGAGTCTTAATTTCCAAATTAAGTTCAGAGGGATCCAAATTGATTTTGAGTGACCCTGAACAGATTTACATAATTTTGATTTAAAATGTCTACCCTGAGACTTGGGATGCAAACAGCTGCATAGATTACAAATCTTAATTACTTAAAGGTGGGGTAGGTAAGTTTGAGAAACCGGCTCGAGATCGCTAGAATTTGAAAATACACAACCGGCGAAAATCTGCCACTTCCTTATAGAACCCCTCCTCCAACACACACGAACGCGCACATGACCAATGAGGGCACAAGATAAGTTTGTGCCCTGATGGAAGGCTGACAGGCAGGTAGGCCATCCAGTTATTTTAGCCGAGCCGGCTAAAATGATTGGTCGTGCTTTTTACAGTACTACGGCTTCCACAGATGACATTTCTTTATGGATTTGTTGTCAAAGCACTTAAAATATTCATTGCTATCGGGGTGTTAAGAGCATTCCATGGAATATAACAAAAAGTGTATCTCGAGCCGGTTTCTCAAACTTACCTACCAACCTTTGATATTTGCCAGCTACATTACAATTGTATAAAATATTTGAATCAAAACCTTTTCTAAATGTAGACTTACTATCAAAAGTTAAAGAGAAATAAATCGCCCCATGGGGTTTAGAGCTGGTTAATGCAAATTGCCTTTGGTCTCATTATTATTTAATCATGTCATCCTTCAGTAGGGATGCTGGCATGAAAATAACAAAACATTTTAGTCGAACAACCATTTATAGGCCAACCAAAGTATTTTGAGCTGCACAAAGAGGCGCACAGTGGTTATCGTATTCATAATTTAGCTGATTATGTGAGTAATGAACCAGAACAGATATGCCTCCTCTCAATCAACAATGAACGCATGCACAGCCGGATGTTTTGCTTTATTGGATTGGCAACCAACCGTAAAACTAATGCTTCGACAACCTTGCAGACAGATGTTGAGGAACAGCATGAAGTAAACAAAAGGGAAGCCTCAAAACATCTGCTTGTAAATTTAATTGGAAACTCATTTTGTTGCCCAATATGTGAAAATAAATGAACAGTTGTTAGTGTTTCATGATGTACATAATACACAACCTTATGACAACCCAATAATAGCCTTTGACCTTCCTGCGTTCTTAGGTTACATGTGTCACCAGGCAGACGCCCTGCCTCTATCGGAGCGTTAATGCTGTGAATGTGACCTGTATGAATGATAAACAAGTTATTGCTGAGAGGATGCATTGTGCTCCCTGAATGAATAATTTAACAACAGCCTCAGCCAGTCAGCCATAACGGCTGATAACAGGCTGCTCAAGAAATGCAAACAAGCAAATAGGATATCATAGGGAGAAGTGAAGTACATTTCCCATATAAGACTAGAGACTGATGATATTCAAATGTATTAAACGTGAAAAAGAGGTGAAATAATTCAGCTATGTTCTCATAAGCCCAGTATTTTCTGTTGAGCAGACTGAAGGTAATGGCATGTCAAACTGAGCTTAAAGTGGTCTGCTCGGGTGATTGGCCCTTTGCATCGCCGTCCCTCACCCTTCACACCGAGGGGCTACGGGGCAGGAGGCAGGGAGAAGAGCTCCTCTTCCTCTCAGCACTCATCAGGATGAAGGGTTTTTATTAGTCGTTATTCATGTGGACCTGCTGAGCCCTGAGCTGATGGAGCTTTCCCCTGATGGGCAGGAACACAGCTGCAGTACATTTCTCATAAAAGTCTGCCTTTTCTTGACCATTGGATATTGTTTTGGACATTTTTCAGCCAGCAACATTTTTTGGCTGTTGTGATGCCCAACAAATAACTTTTTTTGTATCATTAATATTTAAAGGAAAATGGAAATGAGAACGTAGTGAAGACATGCTGGGTTGTTTTTGAGACCTGCTGGCACTATATTAATGGGTTTCTCCCTGTCATTGGGTATATTTCTGTAATATTTGTCTGTAATTCTTCAGGCACCCTTGAATTATGTTCTCATACCTGCAGCCAGTCTACCCAGAGTTCTCAGAGGGATTCACCGAGGCTCGGCGGACGCTGTGTCAGACACATTTAGATTTCTGCCTTTCATGATTCCCACCCACACAGTCACCCTGCACAGTTGCTGGTGAATGCTGCAGAAACATGCGATTTTCCCAAATACAGAGAGGGAGAGCTCTGACGGCAGATCACTGCAGCATCATTTATCACCCACCACACACAAATCAAGGGGAAGTTTTATTTCTGGAGCTTTCTGTGTGTGTTGAAAATGTAACTGACTTACCTTTACTGCCATGTGTTTGAATGTAGATGGGAAAAAACACATCCACTGTAAGCTACTTTTATAAAACTAAATTCACATCTGCAGTGATTTATTACTGCTTTATTCGATATACGAGCAACAAAGAGTAACCAAAAAGGGTATGTCACAAGTGCTGTTTATAGCAAGATTAGTCATAGAAAGCAGCCCACTCCCCCTGTGTCTATAAAACAGTGAAACATCTCCACAGCACAGGAGAGAGCTGTCTTTTGCTAAATTCAGGCGAGGGTGAAAGTCACTCAGTTTGAACGGTGCTCGTGCTTACAGCCAAACAAGATTATATTATAGTAGGGAATTACATTCCAAGCCAGAACATGTACCCTTATCCCCCTGAAATAAGCTTGGCTATTGTTACACTCTTCATTTTCATCTCTTCCAGTCGATCCCCTGTGTAATAGTATCAGTGTATAATATAAGATAACCATTTGTGGGAAAACAAAAGCTATGTTTCCCAGCACAGTGTTCTGATGCACTGAGAAAACAAACGTTATACATACAGTCATTCTCATTTTCTGGATAGATATGCTTACATTTCATTTTGATTATTGAATTTCCCTAGCATCAGACATTGACTGTAGCAGTGTGATGGACCTGGTTAAAGCATCAGGCTGAGAGTTTCATTTAAAGCGAAGCGGTAGCAAGGTAATGTAGAGTTTTTTCATCTTTCCACCACACCCAAAAACCTAATCTCATCTCTTTAAGAATCTTCTCTCGTCCTCCTCTCCCCTGTTGAATCATATTTCCTGTCCAGAATCAGATCCTTTGTCATTAATAGCCTGCGCTTTCTGAGCACAGCTCTCATTCCTCTCTTATTTCCTTCCTGCCACTTGTCTCGTACATGATTACAATTGAATGAATTACAATTGAATTAAACCATATTGTAAGAACACGTGTATCCCTGAACCCTGCATTTATTTTTCTCTGTGTTTTTGATCTAATAATTAAATGTAAGAAGGTTAGTCATGGTGGAACTCCTTGTTTATTGCCTTAAGCACATATTATTTGAATGTAAAAAACAGACAGAGTGCAACAACAAAACATTGTTATGCTTTCATTTGTATGTCTTAGTTTAAAGGCACAATATATAATCCAAATGTAAACTGAAACCTGCCATCACCCACACATTGATTGAAGGGTCTTTAATTATGTTGACAGACACAACGATTAAATGAAAGTGCTGATGTTGTTTGACTAGCCAGTTGTTTAAGACAGATTATACTTTTCATATAACATTAAAATTCTTCGATTAGATTTTCAAACATGCATAATTAATGTGGTTATAGTAATGCATGATGGGCACTTTAAAGTGCATTGTGGGAGCTCAACCTTGTGGTCTTTCTGACACTTGATTCTCATCTCCAGTTGCCCTTATAGCTCCGCAACATCATTAGTAGAAGTTTTAAGAAGCTTTCAAATCTAGTTATCAAATCATTTAAAGCCTCCCTGGTCCTCATCTCGTCCATAAAGTGAAACCTTGCCTCCCTGTTGCAACATTTCCGATCTAACTGCTCCTCGGCCTTCTACTCAAGACACATTTCAGAAAGATCTGATTGGTTTGGAAAAGAAAAATTACTTAAGAGAAATGAGGCGAAAAGTGGTGGCACGCTCGTGCTGCTTGAGAGCACACAGAATCACTTCTGAATGATTGTGTTGTTCAGTGTGTTTAGGATTTGTGTTAATGCACATGCACACAGTGTGGACAGGAGGACATTACGCCCACACCGCTGCACCTCCACAGGAAAAGAGAAAGACAATCTGAAGTTATTTTAGGAATCCTTATTCACACCTAATATAATGACCCTACTAGCTTGCTGAATCACTGTTACATATTACTGCAACCACGTTTAGCATGCCTATACTTCCTCCTCTCTCACACATACCTACATTTTAAGGGCTTTCAATCTACTGTTCATTGTCCCTACATGCGTGTAAACACACATGTAGAGGACACACATACAGAGTAGCTGCCAGACTATTGCACACAGTCAGGAAGAGGTGTGAATGAATATTTCATGGCCCTCCACGGGCAGAAAGTGGATTTATTCCCAGCATTCCCTAATGCCCGATGTGGTAGACTCAGTGTGGGCCCAGAGGCCAACAGGGGCTGCTGATGTCCTTTCGGCTCGATATGCAAAATCTGCTGCCTTCTGTGAATATCTGTGAGACATTATTTACATGTTCAGTTTAAGCTACATCTCCACCGTACACACTCACCAACATTAAAATAAGACAGCAATAATGCATTACACGCTGTACTTCACCATGGCCTGCATGACCGTCCTATCCACATGCACTGAGCTAGCAAGACTGCTTGGCATTTCAATTATTTTTCACAATATGAATGTATAATGCAGAGATCTATTTGACCAGGTTGATGATAATAAATCAGATGCTCACTCAATGAAGTGTGAAGCTGACTCAAGCATGAGGAAAGATGTTTCCCCCATACCCCATCATACATTCTTTATCTGGGGAATTATCATAAGAATACATTTATACATG